TTATGTCCATAGAAAGCACATTAAATGTAAGTAAAGTGTCGACTTTTAAAGTTTCAAATACATTTTTGAAGAATAAAATGTTACAATTTGGTTGAAATAATGTTACATTGTCATTCAGTGTAACACAATATTTATGTAAAAATTCAAACAACACATGCTTATTCTGACATGTACGTATTAAAATATATAAAAGAATAAGGGAGCATATTAAATTTTATTGGTTTTTAAATGAGTAAAAAAATTCTTACTGACAAATGGGCGAAACCTAGGATAGTGGCACATTTAAAAAATGTAGAATTACAACTAATTAGTATTTGGAGTGAAAGTAGTTAGTCTTTTAATATGTCATAAATTGATTTTTGTTGTAAATATGCCTGACAAGATTGTTACACTGAATGACATTTGACTGGGTATCTTCTGTAAATCAGGGGGAAATGTATCATATTTATTTTTTGCTCAGAAAAACAAAAATACAATTACATGAAACAGAAAACTTTTAAATTGTTTATTTTTTTTTGGAAAAACAACAACATTTTAAAACGGTGTTGTTCTTGTGCTTAAACCCTTTTTCGTCTTTGACCCACATATATTTAAATTATATAAAGCTTTCGAGGATTTATGATGCTGATGATGACTGTTAAACGTGTCCTCACAATCTTGAGAAAAGGGTCCATAGCTGTGTGTTTGTAGATAAATCGTAAAAGGCACGAAAGCTTGTGTGAGACATTTACATGTTTAATGATGCACTTCAGAAGCAACCGAATCAGATGTTTCTTTTCTCTATTAGTGCTTTTTTCCTAAATATGTTGATGTCGCAACCACATGTGTTCCAGCTTGCAGGCTCTCGGCCGGCGCTCCAGGTCGCTGTGTCTGATGAAGATGTCTGATTCTGTCGGAGAGGACGAACGCCAGCTCAACACGCCACAGAGCCGCATGCACGAGGAGAACTGCAGCGACGACACGACGGAGACGAAGGTAACGGGACTCTCTTCTTTCTCCAGTTCAGTTTGAAGCCTAAAGAACAACTCGGAGGCTTGTGGGAGAGAAAGAGATTTCAGTGATTCAGTGACTCATTCATGAAGAGTCATTTCAGCTTTGTTTCCGAATGAATCAGCAGTTTGAACGAATTGGTTGAATGAATGAATCAAAAACTCGCTCATTAAGACAGTGGCTCGCTGCCACGTACTGCCACTTTTAGTTTTATATTTCTTTCCATAAAAAATAATTTCATATTTTAATATTCAAATTTTACAAAATAAAAAACATAAATTCTCATTTAACAAAATAATGATCTTTTGAGGGGTCATTTCTCAGGCCAAATTGATGATAATTAGATTAATTAAGCAGCACATCAATTTAATAGCTTGACAGCTCTACTAATAAATTATTTTAGCGCATGCAGCTGTTCAGTGATCGCCTTTAATAAATGCATGAATATTTATGAAAATATATAACGGCTGCGGTTCAGCTGTGTAATTATTGATCGGTTTTTAATTGATCGTGAACCCGCTTCAGGCCGTTTGGAGCGATGACCTGCAGGCTGTATTGTTGCTATATTGCACACATTGATGGCTGTAGCTCGTTCTGTCCTTCAGATGCGATTGTGCCTTTGTTTGTGTGGAGAGCAAGGGTCAGCGAAACAAATCAGCTTCAGCTCCAGCAATCAATCGTGCGTAACTGTGTTATGAGGAGCGGCAGACACGCATGCTGCGTCTGGATTGGACAGATCCTCTGTTTCTGATACGGTGACATTTCTCCGTCCAGCCTTTCGCTTGATTTCAGTATTGGCCTGTCCCATCCCTGAGAGAGCCGATTGGCGGGAGCTTTACGGCCATCTGTCTGTTCCTCCGGCGCCGCTGTGTGCTACACACTCTTCCAGCATCGGCAGTCGTTGAGGATCCGTGGCCTCGTGCCAGATTCTGCCTCTCGGGGAATACGGGATCTTCACTAGCCAATTAAAGCTGAATAACCATGCCTCATTATTCAGTGAAGACACCCTGCGCTTATTAACGATCGGCCTGTTGAGGCTGAGAGAACAACTGAGACAAGACACGCCAACAAATAATGTACTGAATCACTGCATATCTATAGCTATCTATCTATCTATAGATATGTAGATACAGATATAGATACATAAGTTTATATATTTAAATTGTTTAAAAGTGTCTGTATATATATAATTTTTTTATTTGTAAATAATATATATAGATATAAACATAATATGCATTTAATATATATTAAAATGTCAAATGTCTATACATGTTAAAAATGTTTGTCTGTGTATATATATATTTATTTAAGTGTAAACATAATATAACAACTGAGACAAGACACGCCAACAAATAATGTACTGAATCACTGCATATCTATAGCTATCTATCTATCTATAGATATGTAGATACAGATATAGATACATAAGTTTATATATTTAAATTGTTTAAAAGTGTCTGTATATATATAATTTTTTTTATTTGTAAATAATATATATAGATATAAACATAATATGCATTTAATATATATTAAAATGTCAAATGTCTATACATGTTAAAAATGTTTGTCTGTGTATATATATATTTATTTAAGTGTAAACATAATATGCATTTTATATATATCATTTCTTAAAATATACATGTTTATATTATATATTTTTTTTCAGTATTTTAAGTATTGTTCAGTGATATATGCAGTCATCAGAACATACATATGTATATTAATATATTTTAATAATGTAATTTAATTACAAATCTAATATATATATAT